ATAATTTTGCAATATGCGATAAAATTTGGTAAGTTTTATAAAATTTGTTAATTTTACTATGGTAACTCAGAGCATAACATAAAAACAATTTATTCAATTAAATTTAAATTTAAATTTATTATTTTATTTACTATTTTTTTACTAAATGTATAATAATAAGAACTATAGTTTTGAAAACCAGAATTTCTGGTAAATCATTACCATATGCGCTGAAAAGAACCCAAATGAATGGTTTAAATACCGCATATTTTGGTTGTAATAACCGGAATTAGGGTACTTTTTAGCAGAAATATCATAACCAAGCAGTACGTTAATTTTACCAGAATTTTTTTCTCCTCATGTGAGCTCACGACTGCTGCCTGCTTATGAATACTTATTATCATTATGTACTTTTATGTAAGTAATTAACATTCTATTAACTTATGTAAATCCAAATAACATTTTAAAACCTTACTATTTTCTACGTTAGTCATAATAATAGAGACAAATATGTAAATATCATTATTATTTAGATCTTATTCTCAATGGTATGAAGCGAAATACTTGGTCAATAATAATGCTTTTGAAATAGGTATTTAAATGCTTCTGTGCAGTTCAATATGATAAAATAGCCTCTAGATGCAAAATACTTTTGTCGATGTTCGTATATTTGTGTACTTTAAAGTGTAGCTTTTTTTAAAGTAATCACTCTTAAAAATGAGTGGGTCTAAATTAGCTTTTAAATGTATTAAAAGATCAATCTACCCACCTAAATGCTGAAAGCGATAATTCATGACTATAAACGTTTTTAATAAGAAAAATATGCTACTTTTATTAAAAGATTAAGAGGAGCTGTTAGTTTCAGTCCATAAGCTTCGCAAAATTTATATTTCTCTTGTGTAATGCATCTATTTATTTTAAATAAACGTTTGATTTACCTTAATAACTTTGATGATAAATGTTTATTTTCAAGCTTTTTTAATACTTTAATACGTTTAATAAGTAATTTATATTAATTTATGCTTGAACGAATTCTTACTTTTGAGCTAACTAAATTATAAATACAAGTTGAGAAAACCAAAGTTGGAATATCTAATGTAACTTAAATGTTTAAATTTAAACAATGCTTTATTTGAATTTTCTACAATGAACAAAAATTATCAGTAGCTTTACCAAAATTATAATTATGCCTTTTAGTTTAAAAAAAATCATGTAATATAATTAATTTATATAATACGTAGTGTAACAACTGAAAAATAGTTTAGACTAATATTCTTCTCAGTTATTTTAAATTAAAAAAAGAAAACCAACAATGATTATATCAATAAGGTTTCAACTTGCCTCAACAACAGTTTAATTTTTTTAATAGAACTTTTAAGTATTTCATTAAAAAGTATATTTACTTATTGATTACTTCAGTGCCTTATAATATTCTGTGGCCCAACTACAGTCGAAACCAGTTAGAAATGAAGAACTTAGCCATTTTTGTAATGGCATTTTATTACAATTATACTTTTTCTTTCATTTCATTAGAGCCACTTTTTTCCAATGATGTTGTGCTGAAATACTCTTGTATTGGGGGATTGATTTATAAAAAGAAATTCATTTAGCGTATTACTTAAAATTAATTTCATTCTCAAAACAACTTTTTCGTGGAAAAATTTATGGATTTTAAACATTTTACCCATCGAAAAGAATTGGCCATAAACATAAACTTATAAATAATGACTAATAATAACAATGCTTGTCAATGAAAGAATTTATAAATTTTGTGTCCATAACTAGGTGATATTAAAATTGGAGTGAGCTGATTTTAAAGTTAATAAGATTTGGTTATCTACATTGATTCTTCTATATGCCTTACACATGTTTTTATTATCAGCATCGGCAATGAATTAACATTTAGACCTCTGCGGATCTTAAACTGAAACATAGATAATCAGGTAACAAACCGGATAATTTTATATCATGGAGCATTTTTAGTACCAAAATTTTAATTAAAAACAATAATTCAAAATAGAAAAGCTCTAAAAAGCAACTAAAAACGAAATTGTCTTAATTAAACAATCTGAATAAAAATGCTAGAATTTAAATAAAAGCATAATGGAATCTAAAAATACTCATGTTAGCAAAAACAGCACTTCATCAAGGGACACACCTCTCTGACAATTTGCTGGAGCCTTTCTGCGGTCGGTAGTAAAACCAAAACCCGACAGTGCCCGAGGCACCATAATGGAAAATAGAATAAGACAATAATGCAATACCTTAAAAATTCAAAGATTGACTTTAAATCATTCAAAAATCTTTGAATTTTTTTAGGTATTGCATTATTGTCTTATTTTATTTTCCATTATAGGACCTCAGGCTCTGTCGGGTTTTGGTTTTAACTACATACCTAACCATATACCTAACTGCATATGAACTTTATGAGAAATGAGAGAGTTCTTCTGTGTTGGCCTCTTTTCTTGACCCCATGCAAGCCTTTACTGTTCCCTACATTTATAAAAACAAATATTTCTTTTTTAAAATTTCCAATGGTAAGGCATATTACCTTTATAAAAACAAGCCAATGCGAAACTATGAGCAAGTAATTACAAATATTGACCGAAGTCACTGAAGCCCCAGGCGTTCTCTAGCTCTCCAATACAAGGCGGTCTCGGAGTCAGCAGAGCCACGAAGTGTCCCGCATCGATGTAGATAAGCTCTATTCAGAGGTTCTCCCAGATCGCATAAGGAACAAAGAGGGGAGTCGAAAACACCAATTGCATGGAGATTTAACTCCGGCAATCTTGTGCCGTAACCCGCCGGAACAATGCCACTGCCTCACGTCTTGGGCAATCGGGAATATCAGCAAGATCTTCACTACTCCAGGTCTTGAATTTAATCCTATCTTGTATTTGTGTTTTGAATTTCGACTTCAAAGCTTGTTTCCAGAAGAGCTTTTTCGAGTGAAAAGACAACCCAGAGTCATTTGTTTGCTGTAGAAGTGCGAGAAGATCTTTTCGTGCGAGAAGATCTGCTTGATCGTTCCCATGAATGACGCATTGTCCAGGGATCCATTGTAATGAAAACAAAGATCTTCATATGTATTTTTTTCTTTTTTTTCTGTAGTTATTTGAAATGACCACTCTAATCATATGTGAGAAAATAGTTCCCCATTGACATAAAACAATTAATGTAGCTAAATAATGTAATATAGCTGAATAATGTAATGTAATGTAGCTAATGCAGCTCTAAAAATAATGTTAAAAATTAATAAAACTGGTTGGAAGTATGCATCCAATGGTCTCATAGACGGTTAGTATGCATCATTTTCGATTAGCTACTCTATATAACTTAGAAAAATTTTAACTTTTTTTCACACTATTTCATGTATTAGGTTGTTTTATGTTTTCATTGATACGTCATAAGCATTTTACTGCCATACATACATAATTGTCTTCATTAGTAAAAATCTTCTGGAGAACTCACCATAATGCTTATCAATACAATTATATTTTAAAAACACTGTTGATTGCCAGGCTAATTGGACTAGCCATTTTGCATTTTAGGCTCAGCTTAATAATCAGGAAAAATACTTAATTGTCAATATTCAGTTTTAAACCTCTTTGTCATGTGTAAATGGGTTAAAATGAATAAATAAATAATTTTATGAAATATTTATATTTCGTAAATTGTACAGTTTTTAAAATTTAGCAGTATTGACTGTAGTTTGAATTTTGGGAAGTTTGCTAATGTATATTTTGATACATATCTTTTTTTCATCAAATACATATTTTTAGAGCCAAAATAAAAATAACTATTTTTACGGGGTTATCTTATACTGATATGATGTTTAAAATATCATTTTTTAGTCTATAAATCTACTTAAGGGATGAAATATTTTTCATTTACTATATCATCTCTTAAAGCCCCCTTTCATCATTGCTTATCTCTTGATATTTTTTAATATAATGCTTCGAAATAAGTCAACATCTTAAAAATATTAAATATATATTATGATAGCTTGTATTATTATTGATGTATACATAATATTATTAAAGTTGTATAACTTTAATATGAATAATAATATAAATAATTTATTCTGAATGGAATATATGTACCGTTTAAGTTTCCAATGTTAGTGTTCTACTCAATCAAGAATAAAGCACATCTCATTTATTTAACGTACTTTTTAAACATTTTAAACTTGTACGCCTTATTTAAACATTTTAAAAGTTTTTTTCTTTTTAAGTAAAAAAAAACTGCTTGCTAATAACAGGTTCTTAGACCATGTATAACTTCAACCTAAATTTCCAGTATGCTTTAATTTTTGTAAAGTTTAGGCTTTAGATTTGAAATTTTAATTTTCTTCATTCGTCTGTGCCTATGTAGCTTATAGTATGCTAGTTCTCTTAATCTATTTTATAAGAGCTGTAATCATGAATTTGATTAAGTAAGTATTAATTCTGATGAATACACGCAATTCCTAAGATTGTAAGAAATGTGGTTAAAAATTACTTGTAATGAATCAAAAGCAAATAAAAATGTATCTTAATTTTTTATTAGGTGGAATGACATTATTTAAAATGACTTTAATGAATATTTTCTCATTTTTTTCTATCATTCCAAAGAATAAAACTCACATTGTTTAACTGTGAAAGCATTGAAAAGTTTTACCCAAACAAAAGATTTTTGCAACACCAAACTTTGGACAATATTCTTTTTCGTCATATCACTTCATTTTTCCCTCCTTAAACCAATTTCGAATGACATTTATGAAATAATTTAGACAATGAATTTTAACATCTAGTGCTGTTGGAAACATTTGTAATCTCACTTGAGATTTACCTACTACGATATAAGAACTAACTATGGAAGTAAAGTTTCAAGATTAGATAGAAGTAAAGATTCAAAATTCACGTATTTTAAATATGGGACAGTGAAATACACTGGGATAGAATTCATATCAACTTGAGTCACAACATTTTTTTTCTTTTCCCTAAACATTAAAGCTCCAATTACTATTCAATTCCATTGTAGTGGTCATTCAAAAATGCAGTTTCCCGTAAAGCTTGTTGGAAGTAGTACTGAATCGACAATGCGATCCACGGATGCTTCAGCTACTTTGGAACTAAGTAGAAACATTAGCACTGTATTAGAACTCCTTTTGCAAAATTATGATAATCGCCAAAGACCTGATCATGGAGGTGAGTGCATAAGTTTATTTTTATAAAATATAATGCAGCACTTGAGTATTTTTTTTCTGTATCATTGTAGCATTATTATTGAAAGTAGTATTCTTTAATCAAATGCTAGCTTTTCTGCCATGAGCTGTTTGTTCTCTAGTACATTTCTAGAAGATGATTAGAATTAGATAATGTGAATCATTCGTCAATGTAAAAATCAATCATATCCGTTGCTGTTGCTTATCTTCTTAATCTGACACACGTCAGAAAAGCTCCAGACGTTTGCTGACCTCAAGAAAATCCAAAACAAAAAGGGAATTTGAGGTAAGATTCACCTTAGGAAGTCCAAGGTAAACCAGAATAAATTCCGGCAAAGCTGGTAGAACACAGCATTTATTGCAAGTAGGAAAGATTTTTCTGCCTCCCTCGAAAGTAAGGCAAGTGCCTTACTTTTACCGTAAGATACAGTAATAGGGCCACATTGATTTGATATTTTAAGATGTCCGCTTACAAATATAAATAAAGCTGTCTGGGTTCTCCCTCATTTAATGTCCAGAAGGGTACGAGGGGATGTCCTATGATACCAGTGGTGTGTAGGTCACATAGTTCACAATAGATGAAGCTTGGATCTTTCAATGGAACTGAGTTCACGATGAGTCAGTGGCTGTTTCACTATCACTGCCAGTCTACCTCATTGCCGCGATTATCCACGTGTGATGGAACTATCGTATCTTGTCCAGGTAAAATATAATTAATATAAAATTCCCATAGTAAATGCAAAATACACTTAGTCCAGTAAATATAAAATCATATAGGAGTGTCGATAAAATTAAAACGATATTAATCTGTAAGCAGACAGTCATGTCCAGTTAGAAGTAGCTAACACAGTAGAAGAAAGAGCAACCGGACCAAGATGCAAATTAATGCTGATGACAGTCTATTGTTTAGTAGTCAAGTTAGCTTCCAGAATAATAAAAAAACATCAATAACAAAAGTCTTTCTAGCAATAAAAAGCTACTTTCTCTTTTAGTGGAAGAGAACACTCTTTTAATTTAAACTATTAAAAGTCACAAGTGTTTGAATATTTAAGCTGATTAATTTTTTAATTATAAATAACAATAAGAAAATAAAGCTTTCTGTAAGTAACAATTATTTAATTTTTAAATTTAGTCAGCATTTTGAAAAGAACTTCATTTCCTTTTCTGTTCCTTAAAATGGTTAATAAATTCTCATTAGTGTAAATTAAGCATCCTGTCATGTCTTCCGGACATGTTTGAATTAACTGTCGTTTAGAATTTATCTGAAAAGAAATTAAAATGAATTTTACTGCTATATGTTTCTTGTTTTTTCAGGTTCCCCTACTGTTGTTACCACAAACTTCTTAATACGTAGCATGGGACCAATTTCTGAATTAGATATGGTAAGGAATTTCATTTAGACAGGAGAAAAGATGAGTTTGAGTTAATTTAAATTGACGCAAAAGTATTTAGAAAGATTTTAGAAAGATATACATCTTTCGATTTTGATTTTTTAATATTCCATTTATTTTAGTTGAATGTAAGTTAATAGATATCCTTAGTAAAGTTCTTATATTTTTACAGTTATTGGGATGTAGAAAGTTATTCCGTGATCAAAAATTTACTAAAAACAAAATAATAATTATAATAGACGAAAACCAAAACAAAAATCTTCTCAGATCCGAGATGGCGAAAAAAGTTATCTTAATCTTTTAAGAAAAGAGAAAGAAACATTATCTCACAAGGAAAATATACTTGATGTCAATTACCAACTGCGTTTGTCGTTGTACTTCAACTCTTCATTCAACACACATACTTTTAATTCATTAATATTTTTCACTTTTCAAACTACTTTTAATATATCAAATATTCTTAAATGCACGTAAAATATTAAGTAGTCGTTTTGAAAATTCCTGAATATTGTTATATAATATATTATTTAAGTATGCTGTTTAAAAGATGATTCAACAATTTTTCATCCTATCATCTTTTAACTAATAAAACTTTTAAAAAATGTTTATTTTAAGTTTACAATTATAGAAAAAATATAGCGTTCACATATATTTCCCTCAGTAATTATTTTACCGACTCAATACGAATATTTCACCTATTAACTAGTCAGGATTTACGTGTAGCTTAATTGAATAAAGGATAAAACAATGTGTTTCTAAAGGCAAAATAAGGCACAAATTCTTTTCTGATAATAGATAAGAAAGGCCCAATAAATTTTGCCTATTGATTTATTGAACGTTATTAACGCTGTTTGAAACCATTGAGAAGAAAAAATAGTATCCATTGTGAAAACAAGTAATAAAATATTTTTGTATCCACGGTTTCAATCGGAAACTGGTAAATTCGTGACATTTTTGTATGAAGCCAATTTTACTTTTTTTTATACGAAACTAGACTTTCTTTTGAGTTTCAAATCTTATTTGCCTCGAGAGCAGAATAAGTAAACCACATTTTGATGCAATCTTTTCTCACTTTGTTTAAAATTTATTTTAGGAAAACAAGTATCTCAAAATATGTATTATTTTTACTAGTGTTAGGAACATAGTTATGTTCCTCTTCACACAAAAAAGCTTAATAATATTCAGATATTGAGTACTTCTAAAAGTTACGTAAGTTTTAAATATGCAATATGAACCTTTATTTATTCAAAAGTTGGCAAAGTTTGTAAATAAATTCTGTGATCCGAAAGCAGTTCTTTTTAAAATATTTGTATTATCTTTCGAGATTGGAAAAAAGTATGAAATTAAACTATTTACCGTATTCAAATTTTAAATGTTGAATATTAACGAGGGAAAAAATTCATTATTTCCACGGTTATATTCAGTTAAACTAAACTTTTGTTTTGTTTATGTTTATTTTAGAAGCAGGAATCGGAATCTCTTTCATACAACTGTATAGTTCTTTCACGAAAAATAATATTCGTATATTCTAAAATTTATCTTAGAGTAACTTTTATTAGAAGGTATCTTCTTGATATTTTTTTCCGAATAAATATTTTTTCTTCCTGTTTATGTTTAGCAGTAATTCTTTTGTAGGTTAGATTCTTGTGTGGCTCTTTTACTATAGAATTTCTAATATCGTCTCCTAAAGTTCAATAACTATTACTTTTTGTCTTGTTTAATTTTCATTTGCAACAGATATTATCAAGCATTTTGCCTTTCTCTAAATCTATTGTCCTTCATGTTAACATATTTACTAAGGGTATTGTTATAGATTTATTTTAAATTGTTGACTATTTTTTTTACATTTATGAAGCTCCTTTTAGATGAAACTTATTAAGTTCAGAAACAAATAATTCTACAAATTGTTGAAAAAATTTACTTCGCTCTTATTATGCTATTCCTCACATTTTCTCACCACCGTTTTGTTAACTTCAATGTTGTTGAGAACAATATTGCGTGAAACGTTACCTTCAAACTATGAAAAGTACTTTAAAGTAGAACCATTAAAATAGTAATATTCAAAGTAAAAGACATTTAAAACATATCTGGCTTAAGAGTAAAATCTAAACGGGATGGCGTATTGTTTGTTAGAATAAAAAGTAAAATTAAATTGCAAACACATTTACAATTAATGTTTTAAGAATATGCCTATTACTTTCTTAAAAGAAAACTTTTTTTCTTCTGAAATATAATAAATGCTTTCAAGCTGATTTTTATTAATTTATTTATGAGCAATAAAATTGTATCATTAATATAAAAAATAAAATAGAAAACTAAACCTTTTTCAATGAGTTGATTGATCTAAAAATATTTAAAAAACTTTTCTCGTTAAACTTCATAGGACTAGATGTTTAAGTAAGCTTCGAAATTTAATTGCACTAAATTTCTTACTGATCGTTTCGACCTACCAGAATGAGCGTTTCTGAATATAGTGTCAGAGTCGTGAGTTATTTATTTAGGCTGTAATGTTGTATTCAGGCATCTCAATCTACATATCTGAATGTTAATCTCTATGCTTTCTGTCTGAAATTGCTAAAATCGAATGATCAGCTCAACTTAGCTTTTCATAGCTCGTCAGTGGGAAAATGAGAAAGTAGACTAACAGTGCAAATTATAAAGAAAGATAATTTCAGTATTTAAATGTTTTTTTAATGAAAGACTAAATGACAATTGACATAAAATACTAACAACAGTTTTTCTATTTTATGGCCTCATAGTGGAAGAATTTAGCATAAAATCAACGTTTTTTTACTTTTTTTTTTAAAAAATAATTATTTCACGTTACCATCATGGTAGTGGTTCATTGGTGTTTCATAAAATAAATGTGATCTTTAGATAAACAAAAAAAAAAACAAATACAAAAAAATACAAAAAATGTAAATACAAAAAATACAGAAAATACAAAAAATTAAAAAAAATAATAAGTTTTAACCATAATTTGTATTGCAAGTTAAATTTTAGCAGTTTATTTTTTGTGCTTTATCATGCGAATAACCTATTTAATATATCTCGACTTCTTACTTTAAAAGAAATCATTAAATCTTGGCAATTAGATTAAAAGATAATACAATCAAAAAGAAATCTCATTGTTTTCAGAATGTTAAGAAATTCAATAGGGAATCCGGCTGTGTGACCTTTCACGGAAAAATTAGCCAAAAAAAAAATAAATAAATAAAATAACGGTATCTTTTTATATCTGTAACTCGTGGGGTGATGTCGGTGTTGATAACAATTTTAAATTTGAGAATAAATTATTACGCATAAGTTAAAGAAATGAATTACATTGGATGATGATTAAACCATTAAGGAGCTTAAAAATCGAACTTTTTTTTTTTGAAGGTAAAGTGAAATGAAAATAAATATGACTGGAATGCTATTGCAGCATCATAACTATTCTTTGTCATTCAAAACTTATTTTCATAAGTTCTTTATTAATTTAAAATTAATGAAAAATAAAAAATTTTTTTTATCAGAACATGCATTTACTCTGTAAAACTTTAAATAATTAAAACTTCCATTTAAAATTTTAGGAATATTCCATGGATTGTTACTTTCGACAAAAATGGACAGATCGTCGTTTAATGTTTGAAGGTCCTATACCAAGTCTTAGCTTAAATATTAAAATGTTGGAAGGCATTTGGAAACCAGATACTTATTTCCATAATGGTAAAGGCTCTTATTTGCACACAATAACTTTACCAAATAAGTTATTGCGAATATTTCAAAATGGACAAGTTTTATATTCAATGAGGTAAGCAACATTTTATCAAGAATTTTTGTCTTAATAAGCAGTCACACAGAATTATATTTTAACATCTTGATAAAATAATGTGAAGTGAAGCATACACGAAGCAACCCGTTGACGGCCAGGGTGTCATGGATGCTAGATATCCACCATTTTAAGACCAATGACATGATTGTAGCCAAGTGGGGTCAGCAGTGCGCGCAAGCCAACTTTACTTATTAGATAAGTTGGTAGAGTACCAATTGATGCGAGCCTGGGTAGGCTTCAAACAACCACTGACGATCGATCTTCAGTCGTCTCTCAATGAACTGACGTAAAGGCACGATTCACAACAGAACACTGAAGTCTAAGCATCATTGGCTGCAGTCAGTATGAGAGAGGGTGACCACTTGGATCAGGCTGTGAAAGGTCCGAGGATGTGCGCTATTGGTCCGCGTTAAACTGATCTACCGTAAAATGATAGATTTCGGGAACAGGTCGGTAGGCTACTGAAGTGGGATGACATCTTCTCTGCAGAGGGTCAAAATTGTGATGGAATGTCTTCGGATCATCCTCAGATATGTTTCACAGATCAATAGCCCATTGTGCAGCTCTAGTGCAACCTAAATGAACTACAATAACAACAACGATCTCTAGTTGTTCACAATTGAATTGAAGTGCCTTTAACTCTTTGAGGCATTATTTTTATTAAACACATTTTTCAGATTTTTTTGTTTATTTTGTATTAACATCAAAATAAGTAAAACATATTGAATTTCTCATTTTAATAATCTATGGTTATGAAATTCAGCATGAAACACCTTTGTCCTTTCCGGAAATTCTTCCTCACCTTCTGTAAATTCTTCTTTCCTTTGAAAAGCAAAATCTTTCTTACATGGCTTCAAATTTGCATGTATTTATAGTTATTTAGATGTAAGAGAAATACTTATGCATCATTGAAATTTCTTTAACTTACAAAATCAATTATTAATAAACGTTTGAATATGGATGCATTTTCTTTTTTTCTTAATTACTTTTAATTTTTGGATTTTATATTTTAGTACAAATATAGTTTCGATAATCCAACAGATTTTCTTAGTAACTATTTGACTCTTTTTTACAATTAAAAATACCAAAACATATTTTTGCTTATAATTAGAGCCTTAGAAAAAACAGATAAAAGACACACGGGTGTCTCACCTGGCTCAAAAAGTTAACCATTGTAGCACTAAAGTGAATAATTTATCACATCACAAAATCCTTACCTAATCTAACACAAAATCCTTATCTAATTTATGCAATAAATTAGTGCAATGAACTGAAAAAATTAAACCTTTGTGAAAACATTTTTCAAGATGCTCAAAGGTGAAATTACTGCTAAAGCAGAAGAAATTAGTACTATTTCCATGCATGTTTCAACCATTAAATTGAAATAAGAAATATACAGCTGAACCAAAGCCTCTTCGATTAAATTTTTTGTTTAGATTTCATTGTTATAATGTGATCAGTTTAAAAATGGTGAAATACATCAGATGAAATATCTTAGGACATTTTCAGGGATTATAAAACGAATGCAAAGAAGTGAACAAGTCTCTTTTTTATTATCAAACACGTTCACATTCTTAAACTTCTCTCTTTTTGTTAGCAAAAAAAAAGAAAAACATCAAAGCGATGGTCATTTTTCTTGGTAGATATTTAGTGTTAAGTTTCAAGGCTTTGGGAAAAAGCATCTGGTAAAAAATAACTAAAATTTTTTCCTAACATTTTTTGTATTGTTAGCTTTAATAAGGACAGTCTTTTAAATTTGTTCCGTCCCTAAAACTTCGTTTAAAATATCAAGAGTGAACTTAAAATATATAATATTTATTATCACTCAATCATTATCAATATTAAAATATGCAATTAGAAATTAAAATATTTCAATTATATATGTTACTTTGAATGACCGAAATTGATGGTTGTTGACCGGTGGATGTCTACAATCACATAGTTGCTTTGGTAAATGTAAGGAATATATGCTAGGTCTAGTTAAATGCCACTGCCCGGTATGCATTTGCCCGGTATGCCCAACATCAATGTTTTTCGAGGTGCAGTGCCACTACTCGGTATACATTTGCCCGGTATACCCTGCAGTGATACTCTTTTTTTTAAACTTAAGGGCCCGGTATACATTATTCTGGTACTCCGAACACTATCTTCAGCAGATATTAAAATATCGAAAAAATATAATAATATCAACAAATAAGAATGTATCAGAACTATAAATATTATACTAAGAAGTACAGTCCGCAAAAAAAAAAAGATATCACCCTGAATAACTTTCGTTCTAATGATCGGATTTTCACAAACTAAGTATCAATCTTAATGGTTTCTGGGGGTGACCTCAAATATGCTAATTAATTAGTGCTAACTATTAATTAAGTTACGAAATCAGACACAAAAACGTACTTTCTCTGAATAAACATATATTTTTTTTTACATATTTGGAATCTAGACACTTGAATTAGGGGGGGTAGACAAAATTTTAAAACAATTGGGTCGTAAATTGGGTTGCAATAAAGGTTTATATATTTGGCGATAGTCCAGAAAACCGCCAAAAAAAGTCGCCTGCGCAAATAAATATTTTAAGATAACCCATTGACTA